GTGGCTACTAAGTGCTGTCAAATCGGTTCTGACTCACAGCAATCTCTTATAGGGTTTCCAAGGAGTGGCCATTGAGCAGGAACTACCGACCTTGAGGTTCAAACAGATTCCTGTTTCTCACACATGAGAAGTCTAAGGTAGAGAGAAGTTTAGGAACCTGCCTAGGATTATCCAGCTCATAGATCCACCGACCTTGTGGTTAGTAGCCCAATGCTTATCCTACAGTGCCACACCAGGACTCCCATACTTGCTCATTATTGTTGTGGTTGTTAAGTCACTGAGTCGATTCCGACTCACAGCAACCCTGTACAGGGCTTTCAAGGAGCAGCTGGTGGGTTTGAACCATCAGCTTTGTAATTCAAAGTGACCTTACAGTCCAGTGCTTTATCCTACAGTGCCACACCCAAACTTCCTTAGTTCTCAACAACTACACTTCTGAATAATGTTCTTGTTGTTGCGTGCAGTCAACTCAGTTCTGATTCAAAACGACCCTGTACAGGGTTTCCAAGGAGCAGCTGGAGAGCTTGAACCACCGACCTTGTGGTTCAAACTGACCTTGCAGTCCCATACATTAACCCACAGCACCAGACCAGGGCTCTGGATAAGGTTGTCAAGGACTAAATGTCATTCATATGTTGGTTAACTAGATTTTCTGTCTTTGTAACTGTTGTTAAGTGTTGTTCCGACTCATAGCGACGCTGTATAGGGTTTCCACGAAGGAGCTAGTGGGTCTGAACCACTGACCTTGCGGTTTGCAGTCTAGTGTTGATCCTACATTGCTACACCAGAAGTGACTTCTTGTTAAGTGCCATCGAGTCCACTACGACTCATAGCGACCTGGTATAGAGTTTCCGAGGAGCAGCTGGTGAAGTTGAACCACTGACCTTGGAGTTCAAAGTGATTTTGCCATTCAGCACATTAACCCACAACACCACACCATGACTCCCACAAAAGTGACTAGGCATATGAAAATTACACATAAATATATGGTAGCTAAAAAATGAAGAGAACCAAATTCTAGATCCAGGCCTGCCACAAATAAGCTGAGAAACTTGAGGGGGCGGGGTTTCAAAAGTTTGTGGAACAATGGAATTAAAAGATGATGGAATTTTTCCATGAACTTTCTGAAGGCTCCTTGTATACACAAGCAAACACAAGCCTCAACTTCAGCCACCATGTTCTAAGGCTGAGTATCAAGATCTAAACTTAGATACAACCTATTAAGGATTATACAAATAGGTAGGTATGTGCTCAACACTGCCAACTTAAATGGCCAGGGCAGGCTTTACCTCCTCCTTTGGGGCCACTTTACACCTGACTGACCTCTTGCAATTCTCTGCATGCCATTCTCCCTTCCTCCACGCACACACACAGCACCAAAAACAAACTGCTGGTGGCAACAAGCGGCTAGCTTTATTTCACCAGCAGCAGCGGCCGCCACAGCAGCCACCTGTCATCCACACCCCATCCATCCTGCCATCAGGGTCTGAGAATCAGAAGCCGCCCACTGACCTGGAGTTTCTTCCCAGCCTGTCTACTCACGTCACTTTTCTCTGTCCCTGCATTTTGGACTGACAAAAGGCTGCGCTTAGGGTCCACCTGGACGGGCATTATGAGTGATACGACACTAAAGTAAAATCTCTCCTAAAGCTTGAGCCCCTCTTTCACTCAGAAAGTCTCCAATACTAGTCTCCCCTCCAATAAACACCATGACAATTAAGCGGTGCAAATTTGAGACTACTTGATTTGAAATGCATTCACAGAATTGTTGTGTTAAGTGCTGTCATGGAACACATGATCTTTATGCCTCGATGGTTAAATAATAAAACAAATCATAAGCAAGTTAACCCGGGCTCAGGGTGGGATGTTCACAGAGGTTTGATCTTCTTCCCAAGAGTCTATCAGACAACGACCTTTTACCAACATTTTGTCATCTTCCAACTAACCCACTGATCAATTACCCATTTCTGTAATACCCAAGGACACCCATAAAATTAAATTCCTAGTTTAAAAAGATCCAAGGAAAAGAAGAAAATGAATTTTTAAAATAGAAGTGAAATTTAACAACTACACAACCAGAAAGATTACCAGAAGACACTGCCTGGAAGGGAAGCGGACCTCCTACTGGATTTGATTTTTGCCAGGTGGGGGCAGGTAGGACTGGGAGCCAGGATGTATGTCTGTGCATTTATAAGTAGGTGGTGGAAATGTGAATGACCAGCGGTCACCCTCCTTGGCAAGTGTGGCAGTAGCCACAGTAATCTGTCATCCCTCAAAGCTGACCAAAAAAAAATATTTGTAGTAAATAATCACTGTAGCAAAGGACGCTTTATCTGCAACCTATAAATACAGGAAAGAGTCAAATGAAACCACACCTCAGACTACTTTTCCAATTATTCTTTTATATTAACTTTAGAAAATGAACACAGTCTAACTTAGCAATTTATTTTATGTCTCATTACAAACAGATCATATTAATACATTTTAGAATGTACAGCACAAGAGGGAAAAAAAGAAAGAAACTGATTTCATACAAGAACCTGAAGTCTGAAAATGCTAATGGACTAAAAGGGCCTGCCTTGAAATCAAACAACAAAAAGCAATGATTTCACCATAAATCCAATTTTTTGTTTTATTAAAAGAAATACCAATAGAAAAAACTAAACGCATCTAGCCCAAATCTTTGGGATATCAAGATGAGAAAGAAATTAACCTGTGTGGACCAAACAAAAACACACGGCCACTGAGTCAATTTCAACTCATGTTGTTGCGGTTGTTAAGTGCCTTTGAGATGGTTCCAACTCATAGCAGCCCTGTATAGGGTTTTTGAGGAGTGGCTGGTGGGTGTGAACCTCCAATCTTGCGGTTTGGTGCCTTATTCTTCAACTCATAGCAACCCAATATAGAGTTTCCGAGACTGTAAATCTTGACTGGAGCAGAAACACTCATCTTTCTCTCTAGGAGTGGCTGGTGGGGTTATCAACCCAATGTCTAATGCACTGTGCCACCAGTACCCAGATCTTTTCTTGGGCTTTGGAAGGGATGGAGCTGTATCACAAAATGGGAAGTATATAGCTATGAAAGTAATCTTTTCAAATATATCCACTCAGAGACCCGAGATCTGTGCAATCCATCCCATACCTGAGAACATGTGTCCCACCAAGGAATAAAAACTTTCTGTATTCAACAAACAAGAAGATTTAAATCATATGGAGAAACTAAGAAATATACTACAAACAAGAAAACTTTAGAAAAAGTTCTACCCACAGTAGCAGTGTGGTGCTGTAGGATAAGCCCTGGACTGCTTACTACAAGATTGGAGGTTCAAACCCATCAGATGCTCCTTGGAAACCCTATACAGGGTGGCTACAAGTTGGAACCAGCTCTAAGGCACTTAAATGCTTCCTTGTCATAAAAAAAAAATAAAAAAAAATTCAAGAAGACTTCCCTTACTTCAGTAAAATATTGTTGTTGTGAAAATATTTAATGACCCCCCAAAAGCATAATAAAAGCTAAAAAAGATGTGTGTATGCATACCTCTGTGTGTGTGTATACAATGTATTTTATCATGTACAGAAAACAACCCACAGAAAAAGACAGACAAGGAAATATGCAAAAATACTAAAAGTAACCAAATCCAAATGGTAAATTAGTAACTAAGGTGGTTGTTGCTGCTGTTAAGTACCGTGGAGCCGGTTCCCTGCACAGGGTTTCCGAGGCTGTAAATCCTCTCAGGAGCAGAACCGCTGCTAGTTTCGAACTGTCGACCTTCAGGTTAGCAGCCCAATTCGTAACCACTACGCTACCAGAGAGCTCCTTAGAAACTAAGGTAGTTCTTGCTTTATTTTCCAGTACCTCCTAAATTTTAAAGCTTCCTGCAAAGATTATACATCACTTTAATAATCAGAAAGTTGTTTTTACCCCCAACTAAAAAAAGTAAATTGGCATCCTCTTGTCATACAAACTTAACAACAAAAGTGCTTACAAAACCAACGTAGGCTCTAAAATGGCTCCAGAGATCATTTAATCGGGACTTCAAATACAGCTGCTAGATTATTTGCTGAGTAATTTGAAAACACAGTACAAAATAAAGCTTAAAAATGACTTTTCTAACGAAATTAGTTTTACTTTACTACAAAAAAATTCTACGTCCAAACATCTATCCCAGAATATTAGGAAACATCTGACTTTGAAAAATCATCTGTTTAGCTTCTTTTACACAATTGCCATCTCCAAGGCGCAATCTACGTTTCCAAATGTCCGCGCCTAATCCGCGGTAAGGATTCGTGGGCATTTTAACTAGCACACCAACAGAATGGCCCTCGGTAAGATAAAATTAACTGCACACACCTCTTTCCATGGCGCTTCACCCGCCTGAAGCTTTGACAAACGGTACTCTCGCTTGGCCCGGACAAGGAGTTCCTAGGATATCCGGGGAACTGTCAAAAATCGATCCCAAACTGCATTCACTCAGCGCAGGGCGCAGACTGTCAACTCCTGCCTGAGTCTCCCTAGCTCCTTTCTTCTTCAGTAGAGCGCCTGTAGCACCCCCTAGCCTACATTTCCGGGCGCCTGAGTCACGGGGACAAGAGCTCCAAGTTTCCCTTCGAATGTCACCCACAGCTCCTCTCCAGCATGCAAGGATCGGGCCCCCAAATACCTCCCAACGCGCTAGACAACAAACTGAATTCGCCGCTATATTTAGGGTAGGCCTTTTTTTCTTTTCTTTTTACCTTTGTGCTCTAGCTCTGCTGCCCCCCTCCACACCCGGCCTCTTCTGCAACGAGCCTCTCCTAAGTCCCATCGGGCCCTGCAGACCCCGCTGCTCCGCGCCGCCTGGCCGAGAAAGCCTTGTCAATTTCAGCAGGGCGGAAGTGATCGGCCGGTGAGCTCTTCCCGGGGGGCCTTCTCAGCACCCAGGAGTTCCTTCACCAGACTTATCACCTCCTTCCTGGTATCGGGGTTATTTGTGTGGCAGTCTTATCTCCTCCACCAGAGCGTCAGCTCCTCGGGGGAGGGGACTGCGGGGCCCCGTTCACCTCTGAGTTCCTTCGGCACCCCGGCTGCTCCAACCGAACTCGGGCGCGCTCTGACCGCACTATTCCTAAGTAGGAATCGGCTAGGCATTTTCCCGCAGGGATGCTGACTAAGCCGGCGGTCATGGAAAGCTGTTCGGGGCCGGGGTCCCGGGTACGCTGGGAGTGACAGTTGGTTCCAGCCGGGGACGCCCCCGAGCTTCCCCCGCCCCCCCACCAAACCCTCCCAGAGAGCCGCTGGAAGCGGCGGCAGGGCCCGCAGGCCCCGGGCGCCGAGAGAGACTGCAGGAGAGCCGATCGGGTTGGGCCCAGGGAGGAGTGGGCAGGCTAGCGCCGCCGCTCCCGCGCCTCAGGGCCGTGACGACCCGAGAAAATGGTGGTAACCCCGGGCCGGGTGGGCGGAAGCCGGGGGGTGTCCGCGCCACGAGCAGCGCCGGGCCGGGGGTCACTCACGGGGCTGGGCGCGCCGGGCGGCTCCTTCTCTGCCTCCGCGTCGTCGCCGTCCCCGTCCTCGGCCGCCGCCTCGGGCTGCGCGCTCGCGGCTCGGGCGCTCGGCCCCTCCGTTGTCTTCCGCCTGCTGCTGCTGCTCCTGGTGCTGCTCCCCGGCGGCGCGGGCGGGCGGCGGTCTCTGGACTCCCGCGGCGGCCGCCGCGCTGCTGCGCTCGCTCGCTCGCTCGCTTCTCGGGCTGCGGCTGCTACTGTGGGTCCGGCGCCGCCTCTACCTCCTCCTTTGCCCCGCTCCTCAGGGGTCGGTTGCTCCCAGGCCGCGCCGCTCCCCGTTCCAGCCCGAGCCCGGCTTTGACGTGCGCACTGCGCAGCCGCCGAGGGCGCGGCGTCGGGCGGCGCCGCAATGGCCCCTTGGCTAGCTGGCGCCCCCGCGCGGTCGGGCGGACTCCAGATCACTCGCTTCCCAGGCGAGTGGGGGCCCCGGCAGCGGCAGGAGGAGACGCGTAGAAACTGAGAATCTTTCGTGTGCCCTTTTAATGTTGGTGCTGCCCAGCACTCAGCCCCTTCTTGCCCGTCTTTTTGGAGGAGTCTCACCCCACTTTTTCAACTACCATTCCTCAACTCTTAACAAAGCTTCATTTCTGCTAAAGGCAAAGAGCTGACTTTCTGTAGAGTGGTTCTTTCATACTTGCAAGGAACGGGCACTTCATTTTAGCATCTCTGGAGAGATGCTTCAAATTAACAGGATTCAGACAGCCCGGGTTTAAATTCTAGCTCTACCAGTTGATATCTGTGGGGTATTTCTTGTCCTCCACCTCTCTTTCCTCATACATACAAAAAGTATAGTAATATGATAGTTTAACCATAGGCCCTGGACTCCTGGTGTGGCGCTGTAGGATAAAGCACTAGACTGCAAGTCGATTTGAACTGAAAGGTTGGCGGTTCAAACTCACCAGCCACTCCTTGGAAACTCTATACAGAGTCGCCATGACTGGGAACTGACTTGATGGCACTTTAACAACAACCATAGGAGTCCTGGTGTGGCACTGTGGGTTAATGCGCCAGACTGCAAAGCCGTTTGAACTGCAAGGTTGGCAGTTCAAGCTCACCAGCTGCTCCTTGGAAACCCTATACAGCACTTAACAACAACAACATAGGCCTATGAGGCTGAAACAAGATAATGCATTACACAGCTCTGACAACTTAAAAATGCTGTACTGACTTAACGTGTTTTTGAATTTATAATTGAACAAGTAAAGTAGAGTGTCAGCGATAAAGAGAAACGACCCTCAATGAGATGATTGGCACAAGGGCTGCAGTTATGGGCTCAAACAGCAGTGATTGATTGTGAGGATAGTGCAGGACCAAGATGGGTTCTGTTCTGTTGTTAATGTTGTTGTTCATGTTCAGGGTCGCTGAGTCGATTCTGACTCATAAAGACCCTGTACAGGGTTTCTGAGGAGCAGCTGGTGGATTTCAACCGCTGACCTTTTAGTTCACAGTCCAGTGCTTACCCTATAGCCCCACACCAGCATAGAATCGCTATAATCAGAACCAACTAAGGTCACCATCAATCAAAATGTCGTGTCAGGTACTATTTTAGTTGGTGAGGCAGTTTCTAGTCCTGAGACAGCTACCCGCAAACCATTCAATACATATCATACTGGATGAGTTAAAGTGTGATGGGGCCGAGACACACTGCTGTCATTTGCAATGGTGTTGACCATATGTACTAACGGAATGAGACTTTACCCAGTCCCGTCTTCATGCTTGGTATGTTTAAGACCAGTGTTGAAGTTACTGTATCTCATTAAAGGCTTCTCGCCTTTTCATTGACCCTCTATTTTACCAAACACGATGTCCTTTTCTCACAATGAATCTTTCCTGATGATGTGTCTAAAGGAAACCATTTAAAATCTCACCATTGCTGCTTTCAAGGAACATTCGGATTCTTCTTCTTCTAAGGCAAGTTGTTTGCTCTTTTGGAAGTCCATGGTATATTCAATATTCCTCACAAACACCACTATTTTAAACCACCTTTCTTTTTTCATTATCCAATTTCCACATGCATGTGGAGTCCTGATGTGGCTCACTCAGGATCCCTGTGAATTGGAACTGACTCGATGTCACATAACAACAACAACAATGGAGTTCTGCTGTGGTGCGGTAGGATAAGCACTGGACTGCTAACTGCAAAGTCAGTGGTTCAAACCTACCATTTGCTTCTTGAAAACCCTATACAGAGTCACTATAACTGACTTGACAGCACTTACCAACCATAACAGCAACATAGGACTGAAAAGACCACGGCTTGGGTCTGATGCAAGGTCATCCTCAAAGTGACATCTTTGCTTTTTAAAACTCTAAAGGGGTCTTTTGAAGCAGGTTTGACCAAAGCTGTGTGCTGTTTCATTGCCTGACTGCATTTGGATTGTTGATGCAAGTAGAATGAAATAATTGACAACTTCAGTTTCTTCTCTATCATGATGGAAGGAGAGAATGTGAGGTGTTATTTTATTTCTAGTGTTTTTACAGGGAAGTGAGCCCTGTGTATGGAAGGGCAGAGGGATCAGCCAGGACCAACATTCTGAGGTGGAAATGTGCTTGGTGAGCGTGAGGGACAGGATGGAAGCCAACAAGGTTGAGAGTGCTGAGTAGGAAAAGAGGGCAGGGGACGAGGAGACATTGGAGGGCATGCCGATGCTCTATATCTGTACTGCAACATGAGGACTTTGGTTTTCACTCTGAACAAGATGGATGCTATTTTGGGGAGGGTTGAGGGCAGAAAAGGGATGTGGTCTGACATTTTGAAAGGATCACCCTGACTATGCTGTGAAAACTATAGGGGCCGAGGACTTTAGTGGGGAGACAAGTGTGAAGGTTCAAGAGATAGCAGGGTTTAGCCCAGGGTTTTAACAGTGGATGTATCAAGAAGTGGTCCTGTTCTCGATAACTTTAGAAGGCATAGCTGACAGTAATTGACTGATATCTAAAGTTTCTTTCTCAAGCAACTGGAAGGATACAACTCGGTGAAATGGAGAAGACTTAGCAGGAACAGGTGTAAAGCGATTAATTTAGGAATTCATTTTGAGGCATGCTAAGTTTGGATGCCTGTTAGACACCCAAGTAGGTAGTGGAATGTAGGAATCTGGGGCTCCGGGGAGAGGTCCAGGCAGGAAATATAATTTGGGGAGTTCTCAAATGTAGCAATGAGATCATTTATAGAGTGAGCATCAGTAAAGGGCAAGGCCAAGGATTGAGCCTGAGACCCCCCAGTAATTATGGCAAGAAGCCAATTGAAGATTCTAAGGAGGGGAACCTAGTGTGAGAGGAGACCCAGTGGGCATTGTGTGCTTGAAGACCAGCATACCTTTCAAGGAGTGTAGCTGGCTCCAATTCTGTCAAATACAACTAGTGGTTCAAGTAAGATTTATCTTCTTGATAGCTGACCATAGGTCAGCACCACAGAGATGACGGTTGACCTTGGTAAGAGCTGTTTCATTGGAGAGCTAAGCAGGCAACCTGGACTTGAATTGGCTCTAGAATGAATGAAACCTAGAAAGAAGAAGGTTCTAGAAAGAGAGACCTTAAGTGTAGGCAACTATTTTGCAAAGTTTTTCTCTAAAGAGGGAGAGAGAAGTGGGATGATAGCTAGAGGGGAATGTGAGCTCAAAACCAAGTTTTTGTTTTACTCTGTTTTCAGGATACGAGATATTACGGCACGCTTAGATGTTGGTGGGAAGGATTCAGCAGTGGTGGTGGTGTGCCATGGAGTCGGTTCCGACTCATAGCGACCCTGTATAGGGTTTCCGAGGCTGTAAATCTTTACAGGAGCAGAAAGCCTCATCTTTCTCTCATGGAACAGCTGGTAGTTTCGAACCATTGACCTTGCAGTTAGCAGCCTAACTTGCAACCACTATGCTACCAGAGTTCCTTAGTGAGGGGATGGAGGAAGGCATTCTCTAGAGTGATGTCCTTGAGTGAATACAAAGAGAAGGGCATCATGTACACATTGGAGGGACTGACCTTGGATGGCACCCAGGTGTTCCCATTCGTAATGGGAGGACACACAGAGCATGAACACAGGGCCAGGGAGGCAGGTAGACATGGTGCTGAGAACATATGAAAGTTCCTTTCTGAAGATATCCATCTTCCTAGTGAAACAGGAAGCAGGGTCCTTGGCTCAGAGTGCAGAGGGAGTGGACATTTGAGGAAATAGAAGGTGTAAAGAAAGATGAATGTATGTTTTTCATCAGCCACCTTTGGTTAAGACGAAGGTACAGGCACAGGAAGGTGGGGAGTTGAATTCCTTCAGGGATATTTTTGCTCAATAATTCCATGGGGGGGGGAAGTAAGATAGGGTATGTACAAGGAAATAATAGTGATGGATTGTTGAATCTAAGTCTGGTGAGGAGGGCAGTGAGGAAACCTGGGTGGGATAAGGGCAGCAGAAGACAAGAAACCATGTGAAGGTGGTGGCATCAATGGAATGCCCTGGAGTGCCAAAGGATGGTTGAAATCAGCATAGTAGAGGAATAAACTAGAAAGAAGGAGGTGGTAGTTGAAGAGCAGGTTGCTAGACACTGACAATTAGACAAGCTACTGTAGGAGCCCTGGTGTGGCGCTGTGGGTTAATGTGCCAGACTGCAAAGCCATTTGAACTGCAAAGTCGGTGGTTCAAGTTCACCAGCTGCTTCTAGGAAACCCTATACAGGGTCGCTATGGGTCGGAATCGACTCGATGGCACTTAACAACAACAACAACTGTTGGTGTCAAGACAATTTGACTCCTGGTGACCCCATATGGGTCAGAATGGAACTAGGGCCCAGGGGGTGGTCAATGACTGAGTTTTCCAAAGGAAATCTGTGACCCTTCTTGGTGGACTCAGACCTCCAACATTCTAGTTAGCGGCTGAGTGCATTAACCATTTGCAGCACCCTCAGACTCCGAGGTCTTTCAGACTCCAGCTTTCAGTCTGGGGCGGTTTCTCACGCTGTGCTGGGCCCAGGCGTCAGCAAAGCATCTTGTCGAAAGGCAGATAGTGACTCCATTGGTCAAGATTCTATATTTCTAACAAGTTTCCAGGCCATACCGCTTCTTCTTACTCACCTTAGTGCCATGCACCCTAACACTCAGGGAGCACCGTAGCTCTGTAGGATAAGCACTGCCCTACTAACCCAAGATCAGCAATTCAAGCCCACCAACTGCTCCTCAGACGAAAGATGAGGCTTTCTGCTTCCGCAAAGATGAACAGCCTTGGAAACCTTATACAGGGTCACTATGAGTCAGAAGTGAGTTAACAACACTTAACAACAACAACAATGTAACATGCAAAGAATGCACCACCAAATAGAAAGCTAGCTTCATCTGTCTCATGAGTATGCAGATCAAATATAAGTTAAATGTCAGCACATAAAAGAACAGTTCATCCCAACTAGACACAGTTGGTCTCAAGTCTATCAGAAGGCAAAAGTCATACTAGAAAAACCAGCCAGTCTTGCTAAAGTTGG